AAAAAAAAAAAAAATACTCAACAAATAAGAAATAAAAGTCATATATGAAAAACCCAGAGCAAATATAATACTCAGTGGTAAAAGCAGAGAGTTCTTCCTCTTAGATCAGGAATAAGCCAATGATGCCTACTTTGCCACTTCTATTCAACACAGTAACACAAGTCCTAGCTGGAGCATTTAGGGTAGGAACAAAATAAAGGGCGTCCACTTTAAATGGAAGAAGTAAAATTATCTATTTGCAGATGATAATGATCTTATATGGAGAAAACCCTAAAGATTCCACAAAAAACCTGTTAGAACTAATAAATTCAACAAACAAGATACACAGTCATCACTCAAAAATTAGTTGCATCTCTACATACCAACAGCCAATCTTAAAAGGAAATTATACAAAGTGTTTCATTTACAATAGCATTAAAATAAATGACTTAACCAAGAAGGTAAAAGACTTGTACAATTGATAACTACAAAACTTTGCTAGAAGAAAGTAAAGACACAAATGGATATATATCCATTTCATGGACTAGAAGCTGTAATATTATTAAGATGTCACTATCACTCAAAGTGATGTACAGATTCAACGTAATCCCTATCAAAATCCCACTGACGTTTTTTGCAAAATAGAAAAACTCAAACTAAAATTCATGTGTAATATCAAGGAACCCCAAATAGCAATAAATAAATAAAATAAAAATCTTGAAAAAGAACAAAGTTGGAGGACTCCTTCTTCCTGATTCCACAAAACTACAGTAATCAAAACAGAACAGAGCTGGGCACAGTGGCTTCTGACTGTCATACCAGCTACTTGGTAGGGTGAGGCAGGGTGATCATTTAAGGCCAGGAATTCAAGACCAACCTGGGCTACAAAGAGAGACTTCTCTCTAAAAAAATGAAAAAAAAAAATTATCCAGATATGGTGGCACATACCTATAGTCCCAGCTGCTTGGAAGGCTGAGGTGGGAGGGTCACTTGAGCCCAGGAGCTCAAGACTACAGAATGTGAGACCCTGTTTCTTAAAAAACAAAACAAAACACAGTTGTGGCTTTGGCATAAAGACAAACATACAAACTCATGGAACAGAATAGAGAATCCAGAAATAAACTCTTGCCTATATGGTCAAGTGATTTTGGACAAGGGTGTTAAGACTATTCAATGGGGAAGAGATGGTCTTTTCAACAAATGGTACTAGGAAAACAGGATATTGACTTGCAAAAGAATGAAGCTGGACCCTTACCTCACACAATATACAAAAATCAAATGAATAACAGAGCTAAATGTAAAACCTAACACTCCAAAACTCTTAAAAGAAAACATGGGATGAAAACTTCATGACATTTGATTTGGCTGGGATTTCTTAGCACAGGCAACAAAGAAAAAAATAGACCCATTACAGTTCATGGAAATTTTACAATTTTGTACACCAAAAGATACTATCAGCAGAAACTCACAGAATGGGGGAAAATATTTAAAAATCATGTATCTGAAAAGAGATTAATACACAGAATCTATAGAGAATTCCTAAAGCTCAACAACAAAAAATCAAACCACCCAATTCCAAAATAGGCAAAGGAATTGAACAGACAATTCTCTGAAGAAGATATACAAATGGCCAGTAAGCGTATGAAAAGATGTTTAGCATTATTAATCATGAGAAAAATCCAAATCGAAATAAGATGTCCTCACCCACCCATTAGGATGGCTACTATCAAAAAACCAGAAAATAACAAGTGTCAGTCAGAATGTAGAAAAAGCAGAACCCTTGTGTACAGGAAATGTACTGTATAAATGTACTGTATGTTCCTTGTATAGTGGAAATGTACTGTGAAAAGCAGTATGATTCCTCAAAACATGAAAAACAGAGGGTAACAGCCTGTAATCCTAGGACTCTGGGAGGTCAAGGAGGGTGGACTGCTTGAGTTCCTGAGT